CGATTATTGACATGATTGTCTTAACATAGGCGCCTTAAGTAATTTCATAGATATAAAACTTTGGAATTGGTTTCACAGTCAAGCGACTTAATGCGTGAAAACGTTTCGCAAGAAAAGTCGGCATTTCGAGTTTGACTACTTTTTCAATTTTCGTCGTTGCCAGCATGTGGTTCCCTATGATTGGATATGAGGATTTCATGTATACTAAGGTCGCTTAATTGACAGCGAAATGTTTTTGAGTGTAATACGTATTGAATGCTTAAGAAAACAAACCTAGACGAACCACACAATAAATTGCTAAAATGAAAGGTTATAACAACAATTCGTGAACTGCTTTCATAGTGTTCTGCTTATGCTTTTCTTTTAGTGAGTTCTACGTGTACAGTGTATGTTCGACTATTTGGAGAAAAATGTGGTTTTGTTCGTTGTGAAAACATCTGTTATTAATTTTTTTATGGCATTTAAAGGAAACAGAAATTTTTCAATGAGTTTCAAGAGATTTATTAAGAATCGTTAAAAGAAATCGACATAATATTAGATTTCAAAAAATTTATTGCTTACAAAGAAAAATATTTGAAGATTATTAGCAAACATAAATTGGAAAAATCAAAAAAAAAAAAAACACTTAGCGCACTTAAGTGCTGTAGATAATAACATGATCGAAACGACACAAATCGCTTTCTTTCATCTTTGATGAGAACAGCATAACCCCTCGATTTGCAAAAATCAAAATATTTTATAAGTTTCGTGAAAGATCGTATAGGCGATCTGTTGGTGTGCGCGCAGATCAGGTGTCACATGCGGAAATTATTTTACACACTAGAGATCTTCATAGCAGCTTATCATGTTAACCGTTGCTTAATCGCTAGTAGTCGCAGTTGGCAGCTGATAACTCTGCGAACCTTTTACAGTTTCCATAGTCTCCCTTATGTAACTTCAGGACCATTTTTTCGAAATGTAAATGAAAAAGAGCATAGAGTTAAAACGCCTTATCAACACAACTGTAACGTTATCTATTAAAAGAAAACTTATATATACTATGGCCATGCATTTCAAAATGTGTAGTCTAGTTTAACGGATTCAACGCTTAATAATGTGAAGGAAGGCATTAATGTTTATTTTCAAATCATGTTAAAACGTTTCCATAATTTACAAAAGCCACCGCAAAACGTAGGCGAGCAGCAAAGTTAATAATCGTTACGTATCGTACAAATATAAATGCACAAATAATTCGCAGAGAAACATTTCACACATGCATGCATCAAGTGAAAGCCATTAGAAATGTTTTTACTAAAAATAATATTTATCATCTCAGAAATGCACGCACAGACCATTTCCGTACAAATCAAATATTTTCCAACAACATTAGCAAGTTTCTTACGCCGTCCGTGTGTATATGTGTTCAACGGCGAAAAGTTTATCGCGCAATTTCATCTTTATTGCTCAAGCACGAAAGAAGGGAAGGAAGATAGGGAAAAGCGAAAAAAGGAAATTTCCACAAAACCCAATTGTAATAAAAGGGAGGCGGAATACGAGTCTGTAATGTTGGAGCAAAAATAAAGGGAAAAAGCAATTTTATTAATTACATTAGCAACTAAAACTATTTGCATAAGTTATGCATATATGTGCACATAAAAAAGCTTTTTAATTACTCTTTCAACTTTAGTAAATCATTAATTAATTTTATTGCGCAAAAAAAAAAAAAAAAAACAATAAAGATTTTGAGCTTTTCAAAGAACGACAAGCTCTTGTCGTGCTTCAGGCTGCTTTGAATCTGTTCGGAGTAAACTTAATTGTCAACCTCGCACTGCATTCTCCGCTTACTTTTTTTTCAAGCTTTCATTGCCTTCATGGCGACTATTCACCGCAGGCCCGTTCGCATTCCACTCACTTTCTTGTCTTGTCTCCTTTTGATCTGTGTTTTGCTAGAAGATAATATAAAAATATTGCAATAAACGTTGTAACGCGATCGGCATCGATATAAAAACGTTTAGTTACGGATAAGAAATGTCAACTGGAGTTACTATGAAGAAAGCCATTAAAAATCTACAAAGAATCTTTACCAGCAAGGTAGGATTTACTGCACATACCGCTCCGATACCATTTAAGCGCAAACAATCTAACTTTGAAATTTGATTGAGATTATTGGACAAGGCGAAGAGCAATGCTTTGTATTAAAGGGTTGAGTTGCTATGAAATTGATGGGTAGCGAAATAAACTAAAGAGTGCATGTTTTAAGATAGTAGTCATCAATCAGTCGTCATTCTTTGCACCTAGCACTTATGGTGTGGAACTGTCAAAACGTTTGCAACACTCAGAAGATCGCTTCCGAAAGCCAATAAAACATGTGTATTCCTTATTAGAATCAAACATATGCGGACAAGTCTGTCTGTCCGTTTGAGTGGATGTGTGCGAAAGACATGTGGAAGGCTCACAAATATGACAGAAGGATTAGCAGTTATTTGGAACAAGTGTTGGTGCTGAAAGGCCATCATGTCTGCGGTACATCATTCGCAGAGAAGATTTTAGCGACAAAAATTGGCGCATTCGTTGTATGGTTGACCCTACGTGTGTACGTGTATAACAACGGAAACAAATGGGCTATGCCCATCCAACATTATCAAGTATAGAAATTTTTTTTTCATTTTATTAAAGTGAAAACAGAGAGAATAAAAGATTCGATCGTAGCGAGCTTCTGATGCGTTTCATGTATACTTTTCATTACAACGATGTGTAGTCCATGGCATTACAAACATTAGAATCTTTCTTCTTCTTTCCATATTTGGATAATATTGAACTGCTGTTGAATTTTTTTAAAATAAAAATCTAAAAAAACATACATACATATGTATGTATACATATATATACAAGAGGGGGAACTCCGTCGTGTACAAGCATTTGATGTATAAAGGGATTGAAGCATATATGCGGATGCATGATCCACTTTATAAATGAAATGATATGCAACTAAAACGTTACATTTAGCACCACCACCATGCAAGACGAGTAACCAGTTAGAAAACCAACCGACGCAATACCACACTCACCATTTAAATAATTACATTAAATCCTGGATGATGATGTTTTTGCAATCAAATGGTATGAACAGCGAACTGCTCTCGTTTTCTACGCCGTTGTTTCCGTTACCCTTGACAGTATGCAATCCTTTCTCACTGTTCTCCGCTTACTTGGGTTGTCTGGTGGTTTTATATTTTTATTCTAATATCGCCAGTAAATGGGAAGGAAACGTTTTTTATCTAAACGAGCACGTGTAGTTGCTACGCACAAAGTATGCATCTCGACTATTGGTTCTATGTAACAAAGTAATTGCTTTGTGTCATATTTAAGTATGAAATGCTTTCATTTTTAATCGAAATTAAACTTATAGAAGGCTAAAGGCTAAAGGATATATTGCAAAGTAACGCTGTTTATATGACGAGAAGATTTTTTACAACTTTTTGGAGATCACTGTTAAATCGTATTAGCGGCCAATGCAAACTGATAAGTAAGAAATGAGAAGATAATGATTTTGAGGCAAAGCAATTTAAACAATTTGTGTACGATAATTAATTTCGAGATACAGCGAAGATCCCATCACTCTTGTGTATGGTATACTTCGGAGCATGTACGATGTTTGGGTGGAATTTTTTATGAATTCCTATTAGACCAAAATGCTATCCTAACTCGATTTTCTTCTACGAGTTCGACTTTTCCAGATATAGATGACAATTAACCTATTTTTACAAAAGTATGTCGTTTATAATCAAGATGGTTTAGTTGAAATTCGAATACATTTAGGTGACGATGTTGTAAAAGAAGCGCGATTCACCAAAAACATGCAAAAAGCTAAGTCAACCTCGCAAACGATCACATTTTTGTCGATAATTCATGATGGAATTGAGATTCTCCCAAACAACTTGGGATAGATTTCTGTCAAAACTATTTCAGGAACACGTCCGATTCACAAGCATGTCCCCACACTTAGCTTTATCTATTTCCATTCAATGACTTTTAGGGCCATCAGCTGTTGCACTTGTGTGGTATGTGTGCGATTAGAGTAAGGTTATTCAACAAAAACATTTCTTCCCTATCCAATAACAATATCAATCGAAATTCAGAGATAACGTATATAAACTCCTTAGTGTACATTATCTTATAGAGAAAATTGCATTTCAATGAACCGGGCACACAAAATTTCTTGTTAAAATTTCCTCCCATCAGCTTTACACAAGAATAAGATTTCGCTTTTCTGCAATTGCAAATTCAATGTACTCGACGCAAAGTTTCACTTCAAAAAGGAACTCGCAGCTGCCCTGAGGTGCATTAAGACCTTGGGTAACTAAAAACGATCTTGATAACCAATCTATAATCTTAGATTCAAAGCCGATAGCGTTAGATGCTAGTGTTTCAAGACTTTAGTCGTAGAATTTATTTCTCTGGCCAATGTAATCATAATGATAATAAATTTAAGAGCTAATATCAAGCAAATTGAAAAGTACTTTTCCGCAAATATCTGCCGCGCTGCATCAGCGCCTGAACTCAAATGGTGTGGAAATATAAACTGCAACAATTACCGGACTATTTAGAAAAAAGGTAAGAATTTGCAAATAAGGATAAATAGGCAATAACATGAAAAATCCATTAAATTATGGATTTCAACTAATTTGCGTTATTGAACGCAAAAAAAGAGATGATATCGTTTCCTTTTAATTAAATATATGATATAATTATGTATACAATAGACACATGTGGACACACAGCAACAACGTAAACAGCCAATATAAGTAAATTGTTCTCCCATAAATAGAAAATTAAAAGCACAAACGCTGTATTGTGTAAATTAAATAAAATTTATTGTTTATAATAATTCAATTATAAATAAATACATTATTATTTTAAATAATAATCTGCATGCACTAGAGCACGTCAGTGTGTGACACCCAAAAAAAAAAAAAAAAAAAGAGAAAAAATATTATTTAACATAAAACAATTAAAGTTAATTTCCAATTTATATCTGGAATTAATTTTTTTTTTAGTTTTTACATCTTTGTATGAAAAGAGGAATTATGTACGCATGAATTTTATATTATTCATGTTAAGTGAATTTTAATTTAGACGTGCAATTTGCTTCACACAGCCCGCAGTTATATTACAAGGTATTTAAATGATGATTTCCATTCATTTTGTCCTGAAGTGAAGCTTGCTTGCACGCGTCAATAACGCGCTGGATAATAAGCTGAATGCTGATTTATGTTCGAGGATGTAAAAAGGAGACTCGATTATATTATCAAACTCACATTTTCAATGAAATCGTGAACGAGAGGGAATTATCGATCTTTGACTTTTGTGAGAAAAGAAATTATTACTAGAGCCTAATGAAGATTACAGGAAAACAAAAAAAAAAATAAATAAATAAACAAAAGTGAAAAAAAAAGAAAATTCACTGAACTCCCATGACATAAGATTTGATTACAGGTAAAGAAATCCATTGCTAAAATGAAAATGCAGTAAGTAATCTTTGAAATTGTACTACTAAATAATGGTGTTTGGAAGTTCAAGTTCAACGCCGAACTCAACGTTTATAAAGTCTTTGTCACTAGTACTATTATCAACCCAAGCAAACCACTCACTCTATACATACTATTACATATAAATAAAAGTAAATTTTTGCAATTACTATAACGAACATAAGAGAATAATGAGGAGAAAATATTCCTCACATCGCTTCCCCTTATATACATTTGCTTCTTCCCTAACACTATGAAAAATTAAATTTGAGAATATATTTGCTTTACCAATGAATCCACGCAGTGAAGAGAACAAACAAGAAACAAGTTTGATGAAAATTCAATTTTTCGCATTTTCTGTTCACATCTGGTTTTCGTTTTTGTATATACTGTAAATGGTTTTTAATCGTTGTTGTTAATAGATATGCGCCTTTCTTTTCGTCACGAAAAACTCTTGAAGAGTGACAGCTTTTGAACAATACATTCTGGAACAGACGACTACTTGAATTGGAATTATTTTGTCTATAAAAAAAGTTCTATTGAAATTATGAGAACACACGAAAAGCGGTTTTTATGATTCATCTTTGCGCACGCGCCGCTTGCGCGGCTTTGTTGTGTCTTCCTGTAAACAAAACGAAAAAAGAAAGAACAGTGAGTTTTGTGCGAAAATCTTTTTACAGACATATATACGCATAAATAGGCAGAGGAGAAGGAATTCATTCTATTATATATATAAATATTAAGGGACCAATCCAAATTGATATTCAGGTGGAAAAACGCGAAAGTTTTATACAAAATATTTGTGCTTACGAGCAAGGGGGCAGAACTATACTAACTTTTAAAGTGATTTGTGTTATTTTACCATTCGCTGTAGCGAAACGATAGCTTTCGAATTTACTTATTACTATTCAATTTGATAAGCGAACTTTTACGTTGCAACTACAGACGACCTAAATGTAAATTCGCTCGCAGTTACATGGTCCGTTTAGAACAAGGAAAACTTGCCCTACGACGATGTTTCCACAAATCGCTTCATTGAAATCGAGCATGTTTTGCTAGCATTCTATACACTTCAACTCTATAACAATGTTGGGCAGGTGTCTGCGTTTCATCAATAATGGAAAGCCGCGTTCTGTTTTAATATTCCCAGTAGAAATTAAGGTTAGAGAGCACAACTTTTACCGACCATCATAGGCGTAAATATATTTAATCCTACCGTTCCGATCATATTTACTAATCATTTTTTGTTTCGATGTCAGTTCGTTCTTGTAATTCGCACGTTTTTGGTGAACGAATTTTGAAAATTTGCACAAACAATTTCGAACAATTCGTCCCCAATTGTTACGAAACTTTATAATCCCTTAATTTATAACATTTCGACGGCAAAACTTCTATCCAACTCATTGAGTGAATTTTTAAAATTTTAAAATATTATTAAACGCTAATTGTATTTTAAAGAAATACAAAGTTTCATGTTTTTTCTGCACCTCCAAAACACATGTATCTAAGCAATTAATTAAGAGCTTACCTCTCCACCTTTATGACCCTGTCCCACTTCGAACGATTCAGTCGACTCTTTGTCTTTATCATCAGTGTCGTCGTCAAGAACATCGGTTTCTATGACCCCAGCGGCTTTAGCTTCTACATCCGATTTTTTCTTTTTGGAACTGTCTCCATCACCGCCATCATTTCGAATATCATTAGGCTGAATTGCACCAATTTTCTTAGCATCTACATCACTTTCCTGCATTAAGGTTACACATAATTAAAAAACTTATTGAAAAATTAAGCTAATGGATGTTTCGCAGTGCGTTTGTGTGAGCGACTGCAAATCAAGTGATTTACCTTTTTATTATTATATATTTTAATAACATTTCAGGCAAATTTTACTCGAATATTTGGTTGGATTATTTAAAGTTTTAACGCAGAAGGGCTCATAAACCTTTGCTTGAGTTTTTTATTCCCCTATTTAATTAAGCACTTACCTCTCCATCTTTGTCTTCAGAACCGTCTTCTATTTCGAATGATTCGGTCAAGTCTTTGTCTTTGCTGTCACTTTCATCGTCAGGAAATTCATTTTCAGCATTGGTTTCTGTGGCATCCGCGGCTTTAACTTCTAAATCTGACTTTTTCTTTTTAGAATTAGAATTTTTATCACCATTGCCACCATCTGCGTTACTAATGTCATCAGGCTGAATTGCATCGGTTTTCTTAGCATCTGCACAACCATCCTGCATTAATGTTGAGAAAAACAAATTTTTTTTTTAAAAAGCCTATCCGATATTTAACAGCAACATTGGTTTGAACGATTGCGGAACTAGCGATATTACCTTTTTATTATTATATATAAAGCAATAGTAAGTCAAAGGTAGCACAATAATCATAGCTATTACAAACCAGGCCCAAGGACTCTCTTTAAAGAACGCTTTAGTTTGGTTCAACACTGAATCCTATAATTAAAAATTCACACAAGCAATAATAAGCAACATAAACTGAAAATCTGGCTATTTAGCAACACAAGCTTTACAACACAAAAACTATTTGGTAGAAACCTCTTTGGCACGACGATATAAGTAATAGACATAACAACTGGCTGGTATCGAGATGTACAAAATATATAAGGCCCACAATCCGGGTCTATAATTAATGTGGCGCATTAAACGATACCACCAGGTTTTCTTAAGACATTGTAGTGTTTTAAAAAAGAAAATGAGCTTGCGTGCGATAAATCCTTTACATCACTTGCAACTTACCGATTTTTTTTCAATATATTTGCGTTTAACATCAAATGTTTGAGTTGCATAGTCCAGAGCAACATTGACGTCATCGGTTATGATTAAATTGTCGAATAATATGTTGTTTGACATTGACCACAACTCAATTCCAACCGAAGCCTAAAAGTACAAATATTTCTTCTTGATGCTTTTCGTCTTGATTTCCAAATTTAACTAGTCTTACGATTGGCGTCATTTTGTAGGGATTTAAATCTTCAAAAAAGTCGGGATTCGCTATTTTCCGTGGTGTCCATTTGCCTCTATAGTTAGGATTCTTGATCAGCGGGGCACGCCACTTGCCTTTATAGTTTGGATTGCTTATCAAAGGTGCTTTCCATGTACCGCAGCCCGGTGCTTTTTCACAGATAGGGTTATCAACTAGTGGTGCTTCCCATTCGCCATCCATTTCAAAATCCCAGTCCTCTGGTATAGTAGCTGAAGGATCTGTAAGTTTACAATAATAGAAAATATTGCGCAAATGGGCACGCGCCTTTGTTATTACCCGGTATCATTTCAGGCTCATCTTCTAGCCAGCCATCGGGCATAGCAGCGTTTGCGTCAGGCACCTGAGGTGGAGCATCATCATCCCAGTCATCCGGTTTTTTTGCTGTTGGATCTGTTATCTGCGTTTGGAAACGGATTACATTAATAAATGTCCAAACAATTTCACTCAACAAAATGAGACCTTTTCACGTTCATCCCAATCATCAGGCTTCTTGTCTTGAGGATCGTCTATGGTGCTCGGCGGATTAACAGGTGGCGTAAAATCAGTTAACAACGATCCAATATTAATGACTTTGTGATCCACGGAAATTTCATAAGTATTATCCGGTCTGACCACCAAACGATACAGATGTGGTAGTTTATCTTTAAAAGGCTCTTCTAAACGTTCCCTGGGTAGATATTATAGTAAAAAATAAATATATTAAAATGGGGTCGCAAAAATTTTATATACTTGGGTTTGCGGCAATGTTTTTCTGTAATGCTGCCATTAATTGGGTTGACGTGACGAAATATGAAATGCATTTTGATATCATTGCCACATTTATCCGGTCCAAACATTATAGTATATGGGGTCTTATCATTAAACTAACAAAAATGAAAGCATGTTAAGAATGAATGAAAAAATCTGTAAGTTATATGAAATATATGTACCATAGTTAAGTCTTCGGATTCCGGGTCCGCTGATAATAATTTAATGTAAGCACCGCCACATTCTTGACCTTCCTGTTAATACGGAAATTAAAAAAAGAGAACAAAGCATATAAGTATGTAAATATAGGACTGCTTATAAAATCAGGGTTCGCCTTCTTCTTTTATTTTCATTTTTTCACATCATTACATGTCAGATTGCAGATTTTAAAGAAGGCATTGGCTATGAAAGCTATTTACGCATTTCTGGGCCGAAGACACTTCGGGTACAACTTTTTTTGACTAATTTTCAAAACAAGAAAATTTTTAAATATAATTGAATCTTGGGTTGGTTGGGTTGGGTTCGGTTGCGTCATGTTGAAATCTTAAGAAGCTAAAAAGCTCAGCATACACAGAAAATTTGGTATCGCTTATTTAGGAAGCAAAAAGTAAGGTTAACACTTAGTCTAAGGAAACAAAAGCCAATTACCTTTCAACAATGGCATTAAAAGGAGACATACACCTGAAATGTATCTTATTTCCTTTTTGTTTGCTCACCTGCATCGTGACTTCGTACTGTACTACAAGGTGCTTGTTTTCCGTAAAAGTGAACGGCTTCACAAGACGGGCAGCAATAGCAGCATGTTTAGCTTTAGATTTCAATACCAGACCGACATCGTCTTTCCATACAATACGCTGCGGGGCTTCCCAATTCCAAATGCCGTCATATTTTGCTATTTCTTCAGCTATGTCATCTTTTTTTGCCTGCGATTTGACCCATAATTTTTGGGACATCTCAGTATCATCAAAATGATCAATAAAATAGAAGTTCGCGATATCATATTTGGGACTTTCATATGTAATTTCTATACCGTTGTCATCCGTAGCCAATGGAGCTGAATTGTGCTTCTAAAATTATTATTGAATTTAAAATTATTTTTAGATTAATATTTTAAGACACTTCTTCATGCTTTGGCTTATTTCATAAGCGAAAACTGTTACTAGAATGCAAATGTTTGGGCCCTATCAATTTATAGTTACATATTTAATTGCATTAGAATTAAATTGTTTGGTCTGAGTCTTCTTAACCGATCATCATATTTCATTCTATCGGAAAGACCAATCTGGTAACTTTTCGCTTGACAAGTGTAAATACAACATACTATCACTCAATGATGAAATGAGGTTATGTCACACCCCTTCTTTATATTCGATACACCACATTCCGGACAGAGAGCAGTTCAATGAACTTCAGAGTGGATTCACCCAATTAGAATAAATAATCATTCAATTAGACGTTGCAAGCTTTAGTTACAGCCACATTTTTCTCGTGTTTACGCTTTCACATCGATTTGCGAAGCCACAAACTCTGACGTGTACTTTGAACTTCCGAATTGAAAATTTGCCGGCACTTCAGCAAATACTCTTAACTTACTTTTTCTTCATTCATTTCTGTGTTGTCCGTACGGCCGTCAAACTCATCTTCATAATCGTCATCTTCCGCTTCTCTTCCGGCAACATTATTTATGCACTTGCTACTAATTAGGAGGACAACTAATAGCAACGCAACGCTTGGAAATTTATGATCCAATTTTCGCATTGTATTTTTGCTTTTTCAAAATACTTTCGCACTGCAATCCAAGAAAATTGATTTTATGACCGAATGGAATTACTTCCACTATTCTACTTGATTTATTTTAATTAAATTATTGCGCTCACCCCAATTATTCCTTTATCGAACAAAAATTCAATGAAAATTTGTAACAAAAAAAAAACTAGTCAGCAGTATTGAAAGAGAAGATAGTTAATGTAATGTAGTCAACTTCGCGTTTTAGTAAACAGATTCGATAACTTTTTTCCGTGTTCTGGATTAACATATTCGACAAACTACGGTATTTATCAACTCATACGCAACAATTTAGTTGCACCTTGGTTTTTATCAACTCATACGCAACAATTTAGTTGCACCACCGTTTTTATCAATTCATACGAAAAGCTTTACAAAAATAGTGGTTTTTAACGGGGTTGTTATTCACAAAAAAAATTGTTTTTTCTTTACCGGTTTGCGTTTCTTCTTCTTTTAAAGTAAGAATCCAATCGTATGTGACGTAACCTAATTGCTGTTCTATTGTGAACGAACAATCAAATATCTTTATTGATTATTTTTAACAGAGATTCTAGCTATTATTGACTTGTTGTTTTTAACAGAGATTCTACTTATTATTGAGCAATTATTTTTAATAGAGATTCTATTTATTATTGACTGACAATTTTGAACAGAGAGAAAGTTTGTCATCGCTGTAACAATAGTTACAATAGAACAAAATACTTGGCTATATTTACCTATAGAAAATAAAGAATAAACTTTTGGCTCGGTTATATTAAATAAAGGTGATGCACGAATAAAAAAATTTGCTAATGAAATTTGATCTTTAGGATATTTGTGCAGAAAACCCTTTCCTTAATTGAAACCACAAATACTTGATCACCTTGATGAGAAAATAGGAACATACTAAGAGTATAGTGCGGCTTTTTTACGGTGAATTCTAGTTGTGGAAAAAAGAGGAAGCATAAATAGATTCTCATTTCGAATGTTTAAAAGAGAAGACATAAATTTGTGATGTGAAGTTTTGAACAGTTTGGTGAAATTCTTCATTCCACAAAAAGGCAAATTCATTCCACAATTAGATGTGCTGCCGTATAATTAAATTGAATTGCAAAGTTAGAAGAACAGTCTAAAAGGTTCAGTAAAAATGGCCATAAATATTTTACATTAAATTATTTCCCTATTATTTTCATACGAGGTGAACAGCAATTTTAATTTTAGAAGGCGATTTGATTAACATTGAAGGTATATTATATTCTTTACTATTTAGATAATTTGGTTAATAATTCAAAAAATAGTCTATTTTCACTCAACTACTGAAAAAAAAATCCATTACTGTTCCTAGAACAATGCGCAGGTTTCCTTCATTCTGCATTAACATTTTAGGAAGAGGATAACATTACGTGGAGTCGTTTCTTTGGCTTCAACACAAGACTTGATACAATTTCACTTCAGCTAATCATTTATCTGCTTAAGATATTCGCGGTGTTTCAAATTTGACAGCAAAAGCTTTTAATTATTTTGATTAGATGAAGCGTTTACACTTGATTAGACTGATTGGTTTGATTAGATGGAATTTTACATATCAAGACATGGACATATGCTTTTGTTTAAAGCTTAGCAACGAAGGCGTGGTTTTAGATGCGGTTCTGTGGGAATTGTTAAGCACAACCTGAAGTTGTTTATAGCAAGCAATTGGAAAACATAGATGATCCTTTGCTTGAAAAACTTAAAAATTGACCGCTGAAGTGAGTTCTTTTCACGCAATAAGTTGGGAATTGATAACGTGATACAAACAGCTTTTATTGAAATAGAATAAGGGCTGATGGATTGGTTCTTACTATCTCATAAGGGAAATAAAATATTTAACTGAAATTTTTTTTTTTATATTCTCTCTTTCTACGTTGATAATTACGTATCATAGATTAATTTCTACAATTTTCTAATATTACCATAATTCAAATATTTGAGGACTTTTTCCGACGTGTATTAAAGCTAGCTTTAACTTATCGGCAAACATTACTTGCTGTTGTCATATTAAGTAAGTGCAGTAAAGCTGCCGCTTTCCTTAAGTACATTTAGTTGGATATAATGTTTTTCCTTAAAAAATGACATATACATGTGTGTATTTATTTAAGACTTATATAAAAATTTTCATATACGTTCAATTGGTCTTTGTAAGCTTATTCAAATTAAATTGTGGATTAGCCAATTATAGCATATTCAACCGCATATGTATGCATTTATTTTCACAGCAATTGCATCCAGCCCGGCAATTGTAGATTGTATGGTGTGTGAATATGGCATTTATACGGCTTTGTGTGAATATGCGTGTGCGTGTGCGTGTGTGTGTTAATATGTGAATGCATAATGGTGTGCGCTTCATATTTACATACCAAGAGCATTCATGAGATGATTGCTCAATCTAAATGTTTGCTCAGGCAAATACAAAAATAAATAGAACTAATAATAACTACTTTGCGAGTAGGAAATGAATAGACTTGTTGAAAGTCGCTTACAAATGGACAAACACGGATACATGGAGGCAAATATATGTATTCGTACATAGCATATAATGTTACGTGTGTATTTGTTCAATGACATTGACTATATTAACACACATATATATATATGAATATATACATCTTTTATGTTGGCCGATGTAGGCGTTTGTTATTGCAAATATATATATAAATATATATATATATATATATATATATATATATATATCAACTTATATATATATATCAACTTAGAGTGAGTATGTGTAAAGATTCTATGGGAATGTTAAAGATGTGCCAGCTGTGCGTCTAGCAGAAATGTAAATACATACTGAGTATCTACAAACTGTAAACTGTAGTACTGACAGGCTTGAACAGTTAGTCAATCGAGCTAACAAATCGAAAGCTACGAATGTTTAAATGGACACATAAGCAAAGAGACATTTAAGCCGAAGGGGAGACAGACAGCTACTATCAGGGAGCAAGAGAATAGCAGCCAAGAAAGCACTTATCTGGTTATGGCAGCAAATGAAAATAACAATGTAATACACATAAATGCGGATGAATATATGTTGTATGTATATTTTTATGCATGTATGCATTTGTATAGACGCGTGCGTTTGTGATTGTTCGTAAGACACATGAAAAACAGTTAATAGCAAATCAAGTCGTTTTCAATTATTGCGTTTAACTAAAGGAAATAGAATTGACAGCATGTGGACATCTGACAGCCCAGCTCGGCTTAGACAAAATCACTGCCTTCATAGCGAGAACACTGTATAGTCAATAATATGGAATAGAAGTTATTATTACATATTCTTTAAAATAGTCTGGGTGTTAACCACAATCACTAAAATGATACACATAAACATGCAATTCTGCGTACAAACGTTAATATGTATGTGTTTTGGATATACTTTCGCATACTAAATAAGTATAGCAGATGCAGACTCTTTCGCTTTCTCATAAATTCATATTCTTAGCAATTTTGTGCAGTGAAAGAAAATCTGTAAACTAAATGGTCTGACACACCCACACAGAAGTACATATAATGTTTGCAAAGAAAAAGGTTATCATTATTTATTTATTATAATGTCACACATTTATAACCAAAGCAATCATACATACGGTAAGTGCCGACGTGTCCATGTACATGCACGTATATATATTTTATGAGCGGTAAGTGGTGCAAAGGCCTGCTGTTTCTTCACTTTGTGTACATTAGAAAATAAAACGATGTCCTTAAATGCTGTTTGCTTGCATGTACATACGTACGTGTATTACATGCATGCTGGTTTGAGCGCCTCAGAATTATTTAAGCACACATTACATTGTAAATACACGCTCATACACCTCTTATCTCTACGAAACTAAACTTCTAAAGCGGCCATGAATAATATCTGTGCAATAAATGCCTTTGTGTGTGCGTGGACTTGTGTTTTATTCTATGGACAAGATTCATTCAGGCGCCTATATAGCAGTGACACTTTCAAGTTTTTGTTTTGCTCCTGAGCCAGTTTTTCTTTTTTCTTTTTGTCGACATAGATAAGTTAGACAGCGTCTGTATGTGGCCGATCTGTGTGATTGTGTTGGCTTTTGGATATAAAAAAAGGTTTTCATGTTTTATCTTTCTTCTTTTCTTCTTTTTGTAGTTGGCATTTGCTACCTACTTGGTGTGTGGGAAAAAAAAGCAAAAAGCAAAAATCAAATGTGGAACAAAATCCCTAAAAACAACATCAACAACATAAAAAAGTACATATGCTATTTTTTTTAGTCACGTAACAATTTAACCCCTTCTAGTTATGTTACTTCCGTTTCCCCGTACACATACGTACTGTATTTATAAATGCTTGAGAAGGTCTGTCTACAAGTTGTTTGCGACGAGTTATAATTTTGTTGCTGCTATTGCTGTTGATTTACAGATGTGGCGATAAAAAGTCTAATAAGAGTTTTTGTACCGCACAATCGACGAGACAATCAAGTTAACATATAAAAGTGAGATTAACCTCGAGTGAAATCCTTTCCATCAACGAATATTAATCGAAGCGAAAAATTCAAGAACAATTCAGCGTAGGCAGTAAACCGTGATCATTATTCAATTTTATTTAGCGTCCATCCCGAAACGTTGTTATTCCATGCCAATCAGTGTCGAACGTACATTCTATTATGGTTTTGAGCCATAATCAAGTAGTGTTCTTTAGTTGGAAAGAGATGTAAGCCCCTGTGCACATAAGTTGCAAGTCTTCTTCTAAGCCATTTAAATAAAGCGATCTCAAGATTCTAAAAAAGAAACTTTTCAAGTATTTGTGCATTGTACTTGTAGCCTGCATTTGTAATCGGCTTAGGGCGTCTACTGCTCTCCGAGTGCATTGGCTAATTTAATTTGAATATTATCCTGGTCTTATACAAAGAAAATCTTTCGTAATAAATCTGATATCTTTTATGGAATAACATAAAAATCTTTCTTAGATTATTTGTTGTTTACCCATCAAGTGTTCCGTATGCATGAATGCCAAGGGGAATAGCATAGCATAACAACATAACTTATATGTGTGCATGAATTGTTTATGGAAATGATAAGATTTTCTTCCTTATTATTGTAGAAAATGTTGTATTTATATCATATATATACGTCATAGTTACTAGATAGGTTAGTAGGGATGTTTACCTATTAAAAATAAATACATTATTATTATTATTATTATTATTATTTCTTCTATCCCTCA